CCTTCCTCAGCCTCCTTCCACCTACTGGGCTTCACCAACTCATTGTTAAGGTGTATGTGGCTGGCTTTGTGTACCCTCCCAGTAAGAATGTAGTTCTGAGCCCCCATATACTGGTGAAATCTCATCTCCTTTGACCTTAACCTAATAGCATTGGCTCTCTGCAGAATCAGAGACACGCATATAGGTCCTGCACATAACATTCTTTCTTATCATTGAATCAAAAGGGAAGCAAACAATTTGTCACAGCACAGGATCAAGCGAACATTAAAGCATCTCCCAAGAGACTATGAACCCACTGAGTTTATTCTTCAGATTCCAAAATCCTCCAGACATAGGCTCCTTCTGCAAAGGAGCTCAAAGAAACATGCAGACTGAGTCTGCTCCATCCCCTGCTGCTGCTTCCCTTCAAAGACACAAAGGAATCATTTCCAGGGGCTCATCAGGAAAAGCTGAGGAAGAAACCCTGGAGGACTCACATTCCCACCTCAGGGCTCAGGGAATAGACTTGGGATCTGGTATGAACTGCACCCCAAGGGGTTTCGTGCCTTCCCTGCTCTCAGAACTCAGATTCTGAGGATGACTGCTCCCAGCATCCAGGCCCAGCAAGAGCAGTTGTGCTGTTGTTCATCCAAGGGCCCACTTTACCCTGGAAATCAGAAGAGCCTCTCTCAAACCCAGCTGCATGTCTCTCTTACCTGCTGTGGATACCCCAAACTCAAACTGGCTTTTCTTCCCGGCTAGGTGGAGAGAGGGCAAGACAGAGGGAGAAGGGAGCTACATCTGCCTTTATTTATTCAATCAAGGGGCATTGACTAAAGCGCCTGCTCTTCGCCAGGCACTGTGGTAGGTAGTGGGGATACAAGGACGGCACCAAGAATAATCCAAGGGACTGACATTCTACTGAGGGGAAAATGACACATCGCCAGCCAAGTAAGAAAGCTGGATAAGGGAAAGGAAAAGTAGTTTGGGGGATGATGAGGACCCTGGGGGATGATAGCTGAATCTGAAAGGAGCCCAGGGATTCTAAAGGGTAGAGGTGAGGAGGGTGTGCAGCCAAGGCAGAGAGGACAAAGTCTGCCCCAAAGCACCAAGATAGCAGGGGCCAGAACAACCGGAGATGGCCCAGGAGGCCAGGGAACAGCCAATGGCCAGTTTGGCTGGCAGCACAAGTGCCTGAAGGAGAGTCGAGGAGACAGACTGGGAAGGCTTATTTATACCTAGTGCTGCTGCTGCTGCTGCTAATGTTCAGTTGTGTCAGACTCTCCAGGCTTGTTCTGCTTGTTCTGCAGAGACACCGCCTCCCTGGTCAACTACAGTCAGACTGCATCGGATCAGCTGGAGGGTGTCCAGGGGAGGCTAAACAGGTTGGGGAAGGTCCTTGGGTCCATGCCATGTGAGGATCAGTAGGGGAAATGAGGGATGTTTGCCTTGGATAAGGGAAGATGTGGGAGGGAGGGGGGATGAACACAAGTGCTGTTTTGAAGTTTTCTAAAGGCTATTTCATGGTGGAGGGATCACATGTGTTTTGTCTGGCCCTGGAGGGCAGAACCAGGAGGAGGGGAAAGGGTTTTAAAGAGACCAATTAATGTTTAATGCCTGGAAAAATATTCCTCCCACCAGGGCTGTCCAAAGGCAGAGTTAGGGAGTTGGCCGCCATGAGAGGCAGGGGCTCTGGCTCCCTCAAGGTCACCAAGCAGATATTGGATGGCCACTTGTCAGGGACCTGATAGTGGAGATTAGCATTGTGTTTTCTTCATGGGTGGAACTAGATGCTTCTGAGGGCCCTTCCAGCTCTGAGGTTTGAGAACCTGCCTGACTGTATGGAATCAGGCTACTGTGGCCTGCATGGTCCAACCCCCAGGGTGCAGCTAGCTCCCTTCCTACTCGTGGGCTTATCTCCATTTTTACCTCTCAGATGTTCCCCAGTGAGGAGTGATGGGTCACAGTGGCCAGAGGGCCAGCCCTAGAGCCAGGAAGACCTAGGTCATGGCATTCCTACAGGAGGCCTTCCCTGGTCTTCCCAGTTATTGTAGCCCCTTCGCCTAAAATGATTTGTATTTGTTTTCTGTGTATATGTTATTGTTCAGCTATGTCTGACTCTGTGACTCCATTGGGAGTTTTCTTAGCAAAGATACTGGGGTGGTTTGCCATTTCCTTCTCCAGGTCATTATACAGATGAGGAAACCGAGGCAAACATGGTGACTTAACTTGCTCAGGGTCATACAGCTAGTAAGGGTCTGAGGCTGAATTTGAATTCAGGTCTTCCTGACTAGGCCTGGTGCTCTATACACTATGGAGCCACCTAGCTGCCATGTACATGTCATAGCCTCCAGACAAAGACGAGCCTTGAGAAAAGGACCCTTTTTTTAATGTGGTTTTGGTCTGGGAATCCCCAGTGCCTAGCACAGTGCATCACATACAGGCAGTGCTCCATAAATGTTTGTTAAATTGAGGTCAGCATCACAAGTATTATATCCCCATTTTACAGTTGAAGAAACTGAGAAGCGAATTGTTCCTGCTCTTTCCACTAGCAAGTATTGGAGATGGGATTTGAACCTGGGTCTGCTGACTTAAAGTCCAGCACTTTCCATTCTGCCTCTGGACTCTACATTCTGCTGGGGTATTTGATCAGAAACCACCCCAAAAGACAAAGATGTGAGGGGCAGGGACCCAACAGCCGCAGAAATGAGGGGGAGCAAACCTCCCCCATGCTCCCTGTCTTTGCCTCCAGAAACAAACTCCTCAGTTCCTGGGGGTGGGGCACAGAGTGTGGGGAGGGGGGAGCATTTTGGCAGCAGGAGACAGTGGTCAAACTTAACTTCCATTTTACAACATAAAGGCTGAGTCAGAGACTCCCTTGTGGGGATGGATTCCTGGGGCAGAACCTCAGGCTGCTTCCTATGGTGGGAGGCACCCAGCCTCCCCTGTGCCAGACCTCCTGCTGGTTGGGAAGGCCAGGTGCACGCGGATTCCCGGAGGAGGGGAAGTGGTGCCGGCTCCCCCACAGTCCAAAGGCAGCACCTCAGGAGCAGGGAAGCCTTCTCTTTGTACCTCTTTGTCCCCTGCAATCTTAGCCACATTGTTGGAATTTTTCCCTCCAAGTTCTTTGTAAGCCTGGAAATGATGTGGTGACTGTCCCTGTTATGTTTGGCTTAGCATATTTGTTTTACTCCAGCTCCCCTTCCTCCTCATTGATGGGAGCAGCCCTTCCCAGCATCCCTGTGTGCTGCTCAAGTTTCTAGTTAAATACATTGAATTGAAGGGGATGCCCACTCTCCTCTCTCCCCTCCCACCCTCACACAGGGGTAGGGAAGCTGGGGACCAACGTGGGCAGCAGAAAGCGAGCAAAGTGGAGCCAGATGAGCCTTTCTGATGCCTCAGCCCAAGGAGCCTGTGCTCATTCCAAGGAAGTTCCTTTGGTAACATCCCAGGTGAAGACAGAATCCTGACACCTGCCCAACTTTCCAGGTGTGTCTATAGACCAAACTCTGACTTGGGACGGCTCAAGGCACTGGAATAAAGAAGAGCTGGGGTCTCCGTTGTGCATCTGCTGGTTCTGTCTGTGTGACCCCAAGCAATTCAGTTAACCTTTCATGGCTTCAATTTCCACATCAATAAAATGAGAGAAATAACGGCACCCACTTCTTGGGGCTGTTAAGAGAATCGGCTGAGAGAATGAAAGCCTTGGCAAAGCTCAGATTGCTAGCTAAATGGGGCAGTTATTGTTAGGATTATTGTATCATTACCTAATATATACAGCACCTAGCTTAAGGCTTCACACTCAGGAGCATCTCAACCAAGAATGGATGAATGAATGAGTGTTGAAAGGAAGAGAGGAGGGATGGATGGATGGATGTATCTCTAATAGCAAAAAGGATTTATTCAAGTCACTGTGCTTTCTATATCCCCCCAAGAACTTTCATTTTGTACTTAATACTAAGCTCAACAAATACAAACAAAAATGTTCATAAACCACCTCCCCAGGAAGAATGTAATCAGAGCTATTGCCCTCTTTTAAGCAAAAAATGGAAATGTTTACCAGTATTAAAGCTTACTTATGTGACCTTAGCAAGTCTCTTCCCCTCTCCGGTCCTCACTTTCCCCTTCTGTCCATGAGAAGGTGAGTCTGGGAGTCTCTAAGGTCCTCTTTCAGTTCAAAATCTAGGCCCCTAATGGAGCTATAACAAGAAGAGCTTAGTATCGGCTCTGTCCTTTTCTCTTCTTTCTTCCCTCTGCATACTCAGGAATTTGGATTGCCATTGCTGATTGAGTTGGAATCAATGTGTCCAGCTGCTCTGGCCCTTCCCCAGGTCCTCCCGGGCTTCAGGGTGGAGGTGACCTTGGGCTCTTGAAGGCTTGGTCAATGAAGCAAAGGCTTGGGCCCATCCTACAAAGCTGGGAAACCTTTGGATATGAGCCCCAGGACAAACAGCGTGTCTGTCACAAGAGGACCAGGCTGATGGAGCTCAGAGGTTCACATCACCAGGGTAGCCACAGAAGAAGAAAGTCTGGGGGCCAGGCACCTCACAGATCACCTGTCAAGTCCAAAAGGGCTGTGATTGCTGCTGCAGTGGTTGCCATGCTGGCTCTGTAGCCAAGCAAGAAAGACTCCTCCTATTGATGTGGTTAGCAGGGCAGAGCCAGGCACAGAATGTCTCCCAATATTCCAGACTGGAAGCTTTGGAGCCAGTCAGCATCTGGGGGGTTCTCCTTCTGCTCCCCTCACTTTGCGTCATGTTCTATGGCTTTGCTATACCCCACTTATAGCTGGTCCTCTGTGGCTGACTCTCCCAGGGTTGAAGGTCCCTCAGGGTTCAAGGATGCTCTTTATTGTTTTTAAGTCATATCTGACTCTTTGTGACCCCATTTCCTTCTTCAGCTCATGAGGAAACTGAGGCAAACAGGGTTAAGTGATTTGCCCAGGGTCACACAGCTAGAAGTATCTGAGGCTGGATTTGAACTCAGGAAGATGAGTCTTCCTGACTCCAGACCTGGCGCTCTGTGCACTGTGCCACCTTGCTGCCCCTAGGATACCCTTAGGGTATCTAGTATCTCCCTAATCTCACTGGCTTGAGCCTCCACTAACTGTGGATTCTCTCTCACTTTTGGGGGCCAATGACTAAATCCCCAGTTCCGTTTAACCCCTTAGCATCAATTAGCTTTTAAAGAGATCTTTACATCAAAAGTGTGGCAAGAACAAAGTATAAACAGCCCCCAGTAACCTGTCAAGGACTCGGGGTGTCTGCGGAGATCCAGCTCGTTCTTAGCACAGCCCTTCCTAACACTGGTCCCACTAAGATCCCATCCTCGTCTCATTTGCTCTGCCCTGGATCAACAAGAGCACTCCTTGCTCCTTAGGGCTTCCATGCTGAGCAGGCTGCAATGTCCAAACTGGTTTCTTGACTCCAAAGCCTTGTTGGGCCCCTTCCTCAGCTCCAGAGGAATTTCCTTCACCTGAAACAGAAAACAACGTGCCAAGGCTAAGGACTGGGTCCTGCCACAGATACATGGCCTCATGTGGGAGAAGATGCTAAGCATCTTCTCTGACATCACTGCCTCCCTTCAGACATCATAAGCGAAGAGGTCACCGAGATCCCCCAAGAGCCAAGGGAAAGGGACGCATCTGAGGTTGGCTCTGGCCTTCTCGGAGATGCCCCCCAGCCTGGCCACAAGGCCACTGACCGCGTGGCTAGAAGACTGGAACCCTTACCGAATGTTTACACATGCTCCAGTCTCTCTAAGGCACCAGAGGACCAGCCCTGTCGTTGTGTCATCACACATTAGCGCTCATTCTGCTTACGCACATGCAACACCATGGAGTTCCTAGAAAGGAATATTTACTTCAGAAGATATAATCACAAATGTACAAACTGACACCCCGTCTCCAGAGGGAGGAGTAATCCCCCACCCTTGCGCCACCCCAGCCTCTGAGGAGAAGAAAGGATTTGGCTCATAGCTCAGCTCCATTCCCGTACAGCTGAGTCGAAGTGCCTTGGCCAAACCCCTGCCCCTCCGGCTCAGCGGCCAGGCACCCCTACCTCTCAAGGCTTCCATGCAGAGCCAGCTGACTGGGTTCCTCGCTTTGCAATCCTGGTTCCAAGGTCACTATGGCTTAAACTCCTGAGTCCGTGTATCACCTCTGGCACCTGAAATTTAGGGCAAACAAACAGCCTTGGCCCCATTTGTTGGAGCTGGGGTTAAGTGAAGTAAGCAGGAGAAGGCAAGTCCATCCCCTCCCACCTGTTCAGTCTGTGGGGATTATGAGGGGCGTAGCCACAAGCTGGTAGAGGTGCCCAGCCAAATATCTGCTCAGTTGTGCCACTTTCAGGGCTGTTGGCAGCCAGTCATTGCAGCACACATGCACACACATATATGTATACATATGTGTGTACACATACATGTACATACATGTCTTCTTCATCCTTGTCATGGTAAATGGGGTGATGGAATTCCCTGATGTTAACATGTCCCCGGGACATATGGGATCGTAAGAGGCCCAGAGGAAGGCACACTGCCCCTTGGGGACATCCCCTTTGGAAGATTTAGGGAAAGAAATGAACAAGAGTTACAAAAGGAGAGGCAGACACGGATGGGCTGTGATCTGCACCCCTGAAGGGAATGCCACCACTGGGAAGCCAAGCCTGCCACCAGCTTCCAATGCCTGGGTAAACTTATTTCTATGCTTCCCCAAGGCAGAGCCCACTTGGTGAAATAGCCTTCAGGTCATCTGGTGGCCAGATTTCTGGTGAGGAGGATAGACAGACTGCCCTTGGTGCTGGAGAAGAGGGTTGGACATGGAATCTGAAGACCTGATCCCAGTCTTGCCTTTGCCACTTACAAGTCATTTAACCCTTCTGAGCCTCAGTGTCCTGAGCTGTAAAATGGCGTGATTCATGGTACAGTAGAAGGAATGTTAGGTTTGAGTTCAGATTCTGCCTCTCACTTACTAGCTGTGTGATCGCCACTTCCCTGGGCCTGGGTTTCCTCATATAAAAAGAGGGGAGGCCTCTGAGGCCCCTTCTACCTCTGCCTCTGGGATTCTATGACTAGATAGCCTTGGAGATTCCTCCAGCTCTGAATCTGGGCCCCTGCCATCTTGTGGCAGATGCTAACGTGTCATGGGCCCAGTGAAGGGCTGCCTTACACAAGTCTCAGGTGCTGGGAAGAGCTCCCCCACAATCAGGTTGTCTCCAAAGGGACCTATTTTTCAGCCACAGGAACATTGAATGTGTTAGAGAGGAGCTGCAATCAGAGCCACTGGAGGGTACACCTGCACCCTGGACATCACGGTTGCTGTGACATACAAGATGTCCCCAAAAGGTGCAGTTTTTATCTTTTAAAGCTTGGGACCCTTGCCCGTGAGCAACAGAGACACAGCTCCTTGTCAGGAGTGCCTCTCTTTTAGGGGCCAGCCAAGTCCCCTCTAATATTGTCCAGGGCAGATTTCTAGTGCCCTCACTAGCTACAGCTGTCCCCTGTACTGAGTCAAAATCAGATTCTTTTGGGTAAACAGCCTCCCTCAGGCGTGTTTGATCTGGGACTCCTTCCAAACAGTTAGTGACATGCCCCATAGGGTCACTGAAACTGCTGCACCATCCATGAGGTCACAATCCATCCCAGAAGTCCCTTGGAATCACTTCTCCGTTAACCCAGAAGTTGCCATAATGGGGGTGGGGCGGTACATCCCTCTTCGGCCTGTGTCAAGTACTAGAGGGTGTTTTATAAGAAGGCCTTACCTTAGCTGTTGTCAGGATAGCCCACAGCTGGCGAGTGGGTGCACACGGATCCCTCAGACCAGGATGGGACAAGTCACAACAGCCACCTCTGATCTACCCAGAACATGCTGAGTGTCCCATAGGTAGGAGTAAGTAACTACGTTTCTGGGTATCGGTTTCTGCATCTGTAAAATGGAGCGGCTGGACTAGGTGGCATGTGGGGCTCTTCCCAGCTCTGTGCCTATGATGGTGATGGTTCTCTGCAGACAGAGAGGGATGGATTCCTTTCCAGCCACAGCGACTTATCTGGGATTCTTTATTTGGCTTTTTCCTCCACTTGGTTAACTGCCTGGAAGAAGAGACTGAGAGAGCCTTCCTTCCTCAGCCCCCACGGACCACTTAGAGGAAGGACATCCTTCCTCCTGCATAAACTCGGCTGTCTCCGGTTTATGAAGTGTGAGTGATGCAAGGATGAGGGGTGTTCACCCAGAGCGATCCCAAAGGGCTGTTAACAACCCACTTTTATATGGCTCAAAGGAAACCAACCTCACCCCCTCTGAGACAGCTCCATCTGGAACAGTAGGAAACACTGGGTAGTGCCAAGGGCAAGGGCTGACCAGGGCCTGGAAGGCGGGGGAGAGGCACCTCTCCTCCCCTCCCCCTCCTACTAGCCTCAGGCAGAGGCTGAGCCTCCTCAGCTCCAAGGAGGCAGGGAACAGGGAGAACCAAGGCTGAGGAGGGTTCTGGGGCCTGCACTGCAATGAGAGAGGAGAGGGCACCAGCCGATGTCCTCTTCGATATGCTGGGCTCCCGGGACCACAGCAGGGATGACTCATCCACGCGGGTCACTTGAAGAAAACTGTAGCTTCCGAGGCACGGCAGTATGACAAAGCGGATAGAGAAAGAGAGGGAGGAGACAGAGACAGAGAGATCAAGGGAGAGGGAAAAAGCATGTGGGGGGAGGGAGAGAGAGGAAGAAGGAAGGAGGAAGGGAAGGAAAGGAAGGGAGGAAGAGAGAGAAGGAGAAAAAGAGAGAAAGAGACAGAGAGAGACAGAGACAGAGAGATCATGGGAGAGAGAAAGTGTGAGGAGAGGAAGAGAGAGGAAAAAGGAGGGAGGGAGAGAAGGAACGGAAAGGAGGAAGAGAGCGAGAAGGAGAGGGAGAGAGAAGGACAGAAAAAGGAGAGAGAAAGAGACAGAGATATCAAGGGAGAGAGAAAGAGTGTGGGGTGGGGAAGAAAAAGGAAGACAGAGGGAGGAAGAGGGGGAAGGAAATAGAGCGTGTTGGATTCAGGAGATCCGGGTATGAATCCCAAGTGAGGCACTTTCTAGCTGTGATCAAATGGAAGTCATTAGCCACCACCCCCCCCCAGCCTCCCTGAGCCTCCCTGAGCCTGCCTGAGCTCCCTGAGCCTCCCTGAGCTCCTTGAGCTCCCTGAGCCCCTCCGAGCCCCCATGCCTTGTCTCTACAACTTGGATGGTCAGAGCTTCACTGTGGTTCTCACAGACCATTTAAAGAAAGAGATGTGCAAGTGGCCATTTTCCCTTCTATCATCTCCAATTGGGCCAAATCGGACTGGGCTGAGGAGCTGGCCAGCAGCTCAGTGACTGCCTCACCCAGGCAGCCACCCGTGGCATGGCACCTCTCTTCACCTCCCTTCCTCACCCTCCACATTGCTCTGTGCCTGTTACGTTCCCCTCTCCAGGACTAGAAAGGAATTGGGCCAGAGTGAAGAGGGGGCTGGCTTTGTGGACACAAAGACATTGTTGCAAACCTGGGCGCCATGGTAGCCAGTGAACCCAAGCAGTAATGACTTCTTAATGCCTGCAAGCACCTAGGGGGCAGATAAGGGAGCAGGCTTCACCAGTGGAGGGAATTCCCACAGCAGGAGTGCCCCATACCAGGAAATCCCAGGCCTCCACCAGCCATCCCCACAAACAGGCACAATGCCTGGCACATGGTGGGTGCCTAACGAGGCTTTGTGAAATTAGATCGATTTGCTCTCAGAAGCAAAGATGGCCTGCGTTTGCACCCTTGGTTTACTGCTCACTGTGTATCCACAACGTCCTGGGTCCTGCCCAAGACTGACTCCATGGACAGCTGAGGGCCTTCCACGAATGGACATGGGCAGGAGGTACGCAGCCCTGCCTGTGCCCTTAGTCAGTATTGACAAAGCCGGATCATTGCAACCTGTCCCAGGGCCGGGCTGCCAAATGTCAGAGTCACTCTAAAGTACTCACTGAATGAGCCACTGGCTGGGTAAACACCCAAGAGCCATGACCCAAAGGCTAGAGAGTGAGCCCAGTGGAGTTCTGAGGCAGGCGCTCCATCTCTGGTCATCTTCCTGGGGCACACACTGGGGCAGACGGGCCCCAGGGGCTGAGGAAGGCACAGTTCCAATTAGGGCTGCAGGGCCACCAGAACCAGAACTAAGGGGAGATGCTAGGGGCTCTGTCTCAGGGCAACAGTGTCGGAGAGGGCCAGACCTCAAAGGTGCCCACAGAACTGGCAGTCATCCAGCTGGGCATTTGCAGGCCAACGTCCCAAGCTTTCTGCCTCATCCATCTCCACTCCCTACCCCCACCAGGGGGCATTCCCTTCCTGCTGCTTGTCCCAAGCATAGTTTGAGCCCTTTGTCTCCAGCCTTGCAAGCCTAGTTATGGTTCTGGGGGCTGTTGACCCACTTATGGCTGATGGTCTTGTGTGGTTCCATTCAAGTGCTTTAAAAGGCCAGACTGGTGACCACTTGGGGGAGTAGCAAGGAGAAGTCTCCTGAAGGCTTCACCCACTCTTATAGCTGAAGGGGATGACCCTCTAGTCTTGTGACCTCCTCACCTGGGCACTGAGCATGCATTAGGGATGTCCATGCAGCCAGATCAAGGAAGACAATTGATGGGAGGCGGGGACAAGCTCCAGGGGCAGCAGGCATATTGCTTATCCGATGAGATAACACCACAGTTGCGGAGGAAAGGTGAGGGAGTGCTCAGGTGCTCAGGAAAGCCCAGAAAAGCTTCCACTGCTGTCAGATGAGGAGTGGAACTTTTGCTGTGGTTGTTTTAACATTTCATTGTATTAATTAATTATTTTTAGCACTCTTTTCTTTATCAATTTGGAATTCCAAAGTCTTTCTTTCCCTCCCACCCCCTCTGAGAAGGCAAGCTGTATGATATCCATTATGCATACGAAATCACACCAAGGAGGGCAACCCAGCCCGAGATCTCAAGGACATCTAGAACTAGAACCAGAAAGAAGGCAGCCAACATGCTGAAGGTCCTGAAGACTAGGCCACATGAGCGCTGATAGGAGAAGCAAGTTCTGTTGAGCCTGGAGAAGAGAAATCTGGAGGCACTGGGGAGAGGGACATTGCCTCTGAATATTTGGGGGGCTATTAAGTGG